AGTTCGAGGAGTACAATTTGCCACTATGTCTGGCGTATGTGGACTATGAGAAAGCCTTTGATTCCGCCGAAATTTGGGCGGTGCTGCAGTCCCTTCAGCGATGCCAAGTTGTCTGTCGGTATATCGAAGTATTGAAGTGCTTGTACAGTAAGGCTACGATGGCTATCCGAGTACAGAACTAGAGTACTAAACCTATCCAATTGCAGAGAGGTGTAAAACAGGGTGACGTTATATCCCCGAAACTCTTCACCGCTGCATTGGAAGACGATTTCAAGCTTCTGGACTGGAAAGGATACCGTATTAACATCAATGACGAGTACATCACTCACCTTCGATTTGCCGACGATATAGTCCTTATGGCAGAATCGCTGGAGGACCTAAGCACCTTGCTCAATGACCTCAATAGTGTTTCCCAACGGATAGGTCTTAAGATGAACATGGACAAAAAAAAGATCATGTTTAATGTCCATGTCACACGTATGCCAGTAGTTGTTGGGAGCACTAAACTCGAAGTTGTTGACGAGTATGATTACCTGGGACAAATAGTCCGACTAGGTAAGGATCAATCGACGGATTCAACTCGGTTGGGCAGCGTTCGGTAAATTACGGCACATCTTCTCGTCAGGTATACCTCAAAACTTGAAAACGTGACTATACAACCAGTGCGTGTTGCCAGTGATGACATATGGAACTGAGACTAGGTCCTTCACTGCTGGCCGGATGAGGTAGCTCAAGGTCGCTCAGCGAGCTATGGAGAGGGCTATGCTCGGAGTTTCTCTGCGTGATAAACTTAGAAATGAGGATATCCGCAGTAGAACCAGAGTGACCGACATAGCTCAACGGATTAGTAAGCTGAAGTGGCAATGGGCCGGCCATATAGCTCGAAGAACCAAAAGCCGATGGGGAAAAAAGGTTCTCGAGTGGCGGCCTCGTACCGGCGGACGAAGTGTAGGACGTCCCCCCACTAGATGGAGTGACGACCTGGTAAGATATGCAGGAAGTCGATGGATGCTGGTGGCTCAGGACCGTGCTTTGTGGCATTCCTTGGGGGAGGCCTATGTTCAGCAGTGGACTTGTGAAGGGCTGTAATAATGATGATGATGAATAAATTATCACTTTAAATAGGTACCAAAGATATTATTGTAAAACCATACTATTGTAAGACTATCTATAGTCTGTGTTCACTATAGACATGATAAGCGTACTTTAAACATGTCCTCTGTCAAAGAAAATATCTCTCTTGCTTTATAGTCAATGCCGTTGCGGCAAATATATTTCTAATAACAAAATCTTACTTTATTATTTTTATAGAAATACGGGTAAATTAGCATGCGGCTCGTCTTCTGATGGTTACTAACGCTGCCCATGAACATCTACAACATCAAAAGAATTTAGGGTGCAATACCAGCCTTACAAAAATGAGTAGGCTCTTACCTAAAGTTCCCGAATTCGTATTGATATGGATAGTTGATTCCACAAAGAAGTCTTGCGAGAAAAAAAACTTCTGGCGAAACGCACAGTGATAGATCGCCAACCATACAGATGGTGTAGACGGTGTCGAAATTATGTGGCGATGTGCGCCGTACTTCAAAATATTTTTGTGCCATATTAAACGCTGTTTTATTTCTATTTGAAGTGTGACCCGATTGCTGTCCAAGGGTTTATCAATAGAAATGCCTCTAAAGAACAAAATCCATCTCGTATCTCGTCATAAAATAATAAAAATTAGTAGATTTATTGTTAATAGTATATAGACTGTAACCATTAAATCCACAAACTGTAGTCATAGAAAATCTGGTTTTCCATGTATATTTATTAGCATTTTATTATCTGTTTCCTTTATCTTTTTTCTTTTTTAATAATCACTTCGCTATATATGTAAGTTTTGGTTTTCTGTAAGAAGATGAACACATAGCATGTAGTCGCAGTGTTGAGTTATATTTTTGTTAGTATTGTGTATCATCTGTTGGTGGTCCAAATAAAGAGAAAAATAAAATAAAAAAGGGTGTAAAAGGTTTAAGGCTACCGTTTAGTGTCACATCAGCCAAGGTTTTGTCAGCCTATAGGTAGCTTTTTAAAAATATAGATTTACATTTAACATTCGTAGCGTTTTAAACCACCGAGGTTTGTCCAGTACTATAAACAATATTTACCTACTAAGTTAAGTAAAAGTTACACTCACAGAGAAATATTTAATAAGGTTAAAAAAGGAAGAAGTGGTTCCTTCGAAGGAATTTTTCGAAAGATAATAACATTTTAACTTATTAATTATATTTTCTTCGTTATAGTGTCTATCAAATTATCTTATAACTTTAAATATTAAATTTAACTACATATTATTTACTTAAATATTAATTTAAATTAATAACTTAAAGTTAGTATTAATAATGTAAATTAAATATAACTAGTAAGCTATATCCACCATTAAATTAATATTTAATTATTTTGTAGGGCCACACTAAGTTTTTATTTCACTTACAATTTACATACAACTTAGTTACAGAGAAAGGTTTTAATACCGTTAGCACAGAATAAGTAACCGTTAAGTATTTTTCTACTAGTCAACCCATGTAGTGGTGAGAATTTGACGTAAGCAACATAGAAAAATAAAGGAATCAATATTTGATTATAATTAAACGACCGTTTAAGTTATGGTTTAATTTAATTTTCACTGTTACCGAAATTCACCATTTGTGAATGAAATAGGAGCGACCGAAGCTTCTGAAAGTAAATGAGGTCTACTTAAATACCTAATGCACAGCTGCGTGTTTTAAATGAAACGATAAAACAGAGTTATTTTTAAAACTTTTCGCTATTTCTTTGTATTTCAGTATTTTTGAAATTATAATTTAAAACATGGTGTTTCGAATAGTGAGTGACAAGGACGAGAGGTCCTTTTATGTCACATTTTATAGTCCTCTGGGGTCACAATGTTCTATAGTTTCGATGACAGAGTAGGAGGAGTCTATGAATATACGACTTGGTCACACAGTGTTTGCATACAAAAGTACAGAATTTAATATCTAAAAGTTCAGAAATAGTCACTTTAAATATAACTAATTTGACAGATTTTATCGTGTTCAATTTTAACTAATTTTTTATTTCTTGTTTCGGCAGGACACTTGTTTTTTTTGACTTCTTGTTTTACAGGACCCATAGACACAGGAAGGCAGATGTTAGTCGTTCTGATTCATAGTTAACTTGGGCTAACTTTAGCTCTTAAATATAATTTTTTGGTTCCATCTACGCCAAACAAACTTATATTACTTTAGGTCTTGCAGTGGTATATGCTTGGGTTTGGATTTAATTTTATTAATTATGGGATCCCAAGTAAATTTAAGCACCCAGGCATCTTCCTTATTGAAATTTGGATTTTTTTTTAAATTTCAATAGCCTCACGAATCATCTTGGATAGAAATCGGTGTTATTATGAACATGTGAAGATATGTGGTTTCTCTAATAACGGGACGATTCTGAATACATTCACATATTGCAGACTTCCCGGAGTAATGGTGCTTCACGTCAGCTCAATAGCTTTTTTTTTAAATCTTTTTTCTTGTCCTTCCTTGTATACTCCTGTATCTTGTGGAGTACACACTAAACGAATTGAACCTTTGAATTCAAAATGCACCTAGTATTACCAGTACCAGTACCATTACTGTTAGTATTATACAGTTAGCAGCTTCAAAAAATGAGGACTTTTTTACAACATATAATTATTTTATAGCGTCTCATTTGAAGAATATAAGAAAATAACAAGTATGTTACATTCACTTACATAAATATTATATTATGCATTTTTACTTAACTAGTAATCGTACTACAGTAAAACGTAAAATCAAATAGACTATAGGACTAATATAGTTTATACAAAGAAAATAAGTCTGAATATGTCACTGAACGTACTACACATAAAGTATACAATACATGTTTGCGGTCTCCTCTGTTTATTGCCAATGTCGCGCCCGGTCGTGACATTCGCATCGAGATAGCTATTCTATCCTAATATTTGAGGCTGGGTAGACGAGATATTGCGGGGTAATTTGTGGTTCAATACATGCCTCGATGAGGAAGTTTGAAATACATTACACAAGGATATTCTGAGAGGAGTGTAAATATGAACTTAAATATTTTATTCGTAATTTTATATCCTCTTTATGTTAAAAATATGATGATTTGAGTAATGACTACATCTTATATCATTATATTTTAAGCTATCAATATGGTATATAAATAAATTGGAAACTTGGAAGTGGCTCTAACGATATGGATAACATAATGTTTTGTTTAGACTGGTCTAAGAGATAGGTGTTATCCCTGAGAAAGTTGTATATTTGGAATAAAACCAGTTTTTATATAATTAAATTCCCACGGAAGGGACTGAGATCCGAAACATCGGGAATTAAAAAAAGTTAAAATTAAACGCGATAAAATCCGTAAAATTAGTTTTATTCCATGTGTAGTTTTCGGGTAAATATAAGAAATCCTTAAAACGCCAAATAAAGGCTGGTCACCAGGTTCAATATCAAAATGCCTGTGATGACATCCACTTCGTAACACATTGAAATTTAAAATAACGCGTGTTCCATTTTGGGATCGTAGAGCCGCTTTGGATTAGGGTCATTAAATGCGAAAATAAAAATTCCAAAATTCAAGAACTATAAAACTATACTTATTTTTTCTTCGATGGAAACTCGATTTTCTTTAATTTTCAGATTATCTTATCGATTTACATGTTATCTGTATCAAAGTCCGCAGTATAGTTGCCACAATTGGCAGGCGGGCTGGCAACCGCAATGTTTTGGGCCTGCTGATATGGGGTGTGGATTATTTTCCTCGCCCCTACATGACGAATTCAACTCCTACATTCCGCTAATTTACATTCCTACATTTCGCATTGCTCGTAGTAAAATGGGTTATTTTCCGATTCGATTTTATGTGAATGCTTTTGTTTTCCTCGCATTTTCCGTGATTTGAAATAAAAGAACATTTTCTTGCAGCTGGCGAATGGCACAGCGCGACGTTTTGGGTGTTCGTGGTGGGAGCGGCTGCGCTGGTGGCAGCGATGCTCGCCGCACTCGCCTGCTGGGTGGCGCGGCGCCGGGCCTCCCTTGCGCATAAACTTGGTTAGTTTGTTATTTACGCAAAACATATACTATATATCTACCCGACTCCTCAGAGTAATGTGTTGATTTTTTATCGATTTGACAAAACAATCCCAGAAAATATAAATCTAATAAAAATAAATAAGGTCTAAAAATATTATGTCCTTATCGAAGACTGTATAAAAAGGTTATTACGACGTGTTTCTCATTTAAGATCTTGGCCAAATACTCAAATGATACTTAATTTTAAGATGTTGTGAAGTCTCCTGGTGTCACATTCACTTTGACCCAAAGCACGAGACTTAACGCCACCTTAAACTTGAGGAGCGTTTGAGTATTTTTTGATGAGTAGCACGTTCGTTTGCCCCCTTCTCTATAAAAAAAAAAATTTTGACGTAACAATGTTTAATTTTCAGAATTGTACTGAGCCATTAGATACCGATATAAAGTTATTGTTTAAGGAATTATAATATAATATGTATACCTACTACGCAATTGAAAATTTCTACTGGAGAGGTTGAAAAAGATCAATAGGACATCAAAATAATCCAACTAAAAATAAAAAAATAAAAACTTTTACTTTATTACGAACCGTAACTCCTGTTGGTTCTGTAGTTATCCTGTAACTATTTATACATGCTGAAAAGATTAAAATTAATGTGGACAAGTTAGTAAAACCATGCCACCTACAAGTAGACCAAGCCATTTTTTCAGATGATGGTAATTGCTGCATAGGGTCCTAGATGGTTATACTGGGAAATGCCTACTCACGTGTGCTGTGAACGCTTAAAATGTAGTGATCAGTGAACACTGACAAGCAGGTCAGTCGTGAAGAATTCCATGCCCTCGTAGCGATGTAAGAGTGAAATCCAACCGCACATCGAGTTGACCACCTAAATGACCAATTAGACGAATGGCTGTAATGTGACTTCCCCGACCATCTTACTATGATTCACGACATTGATATCAGCATCTGGCTTAGATGCAATTGATTTGACGTTTAACAGTCGTTTAATGATAACTAATAATTTTCCGCTGACCAGATGTAGCTAATTGGGACCGAGGTGAAGTTATTTGTTAAATATCTTCGTGGTAGAGCCATGCTGCAGCACGAATGGGTTGGCTCGACCGGAGAAGGACCACACTCTCACAGAATACCAGTGTAAAATAGTAGCTTAACGCTGCTGTGTTTCGTATGGTGAGTGTAGAGAACCGGAGACCCTTTTTAGTGGAAACGAGGCATTCCATCTTAGTCATCACGGGTGACAACGCATCTGCATTTTGATTCGTAATCGAAGATAGATGTAGATGTCTATGAGCCACAGTAACCACTAACCATCAGGTCGACTGTGTGCTCGTTTGTCACCCTAATCATATAAAAAAAAACTATATATATATATATATATATATATATATATATATAATTGAGAAGTTGCGTTTTAAATAAAAGTTTATCGCATTCTAGAGTATGTACACAAAACAATGCCTCAGTGGTTTGCCTAAGTCTTCTGCACATGTTTAACTCTCTTTTTAATTTTTCTGCATTTAAGAATATCGCCCTGTTAGCAGAAAAAGTCGTGGATGGAATGCCCTCATTGGCTTGATCGACTTATGCAGTCGGTCGATACAACTAGCAGTTGCCTATACGAGTATATACTTCTATGACAGGTGGCAAGCGCGGTCCGGACAAGGCGTTGGTGTTCCAGCCGCCACGACGCGCTACTGCTGTGCGCTCGCCGGGATCCGCTACGCACTATCTGCGCAAGTCCCCATCGCCCACCGCATCTGCTCCTACACCAGCAACGTCTCCACCACAGCCTCAACCACCGGCACCGAAAGAGGTAAAACAAACAAGTCACTTTTATTTTTCTATTATTACGGATATAGGTAGAGACAGCAATTTTGTTTACTTACTTACACAATAAATTACACTTTTTTTTTTTCAGTTTCAACCGACCTTATAAGATTATTTTAAACTAAATAATTTTATCACTTCCCATTTTACTAGTCAAATACCTGAATTCGAAAATTTCGATTTTCAAATTCATGTTTTTAATCCTCACATTGTTGGTGTTTGTGTAGAAACCATATCACAGCATAAGAAGAACATAAGTTAGACTGTAACCATATTTTATAATTATGTCCTATTTTAAGCACTTACCATGGTAGTATCAACTACCCCATATCATCCCGTGGTTGTAGAAAAAGGCGACAGAGGGAATCAAATTAGATGGGCAGCAGTCTTCTTAATAACGACTAAAAGTAAAAAACTGCGTGGCAACTATGGCAAATATGCTCCATATGAGGCAATATATTGGGGTGGCCTATGATCAACAGTGAACTTTAATATGCTGTAACAGTAACGGTTAAGCATCTACGTGAAATTCTAAAATAAGAAAAACGTCTTTGATAGCTCATATTATGACAAATTATAATTTATGTACTACACAACACTCACAAACACTCACGCCTGTCACCCAGAGGGGTAGGCAGAGACTACGGACTTCCATTTGGCGTGATCCTGACACACCTCTCTCGCCTCCTTTACATCCATATATCTATGCATACACGCTCGTCAGTTAAGGGTATTCCTAATCTGGCCCATTTTCAATATATCGCCAATTTGGTCAATAAACCTTCGTCTAGGGCGTCCTTTCCTGACTCTGCCGTTCACTTCTGCAACATAAATTTGCTTCACTCTTTCCTCGTTCATTCTTTTTACATGAACAAACCACCGAAGCATTCCTTTCTTAATCCTGGTCACAACGTCGTCTTGAAAACCACACTTTTCTCTTATTACACTATTTCTCACCCTGTCATTCAGATTCAGCCCTAGCATACTCCTTAATGACCGCATTTCTACAGCATTTATTCTATTATCATGCTTCTTCTGCCCGACCCAACTTAAATATTAACCATACATTAAAGTAGGGACTAACACAACATTATGAATTGCCATACGTGCCTTTTTTGACACATTCTGACTTTACACAATAGCGTTCTATATCCTTATCATATCTACCATCCCTGCTTAATAAACATCCCAAATACACAAACTCATCCACTTGCTTAATCAACTCCCCTTCTATTCTTATTTCACATAACGTTTTACTTTCTTCTCTTTTAAAAACCATCACTTTCGTCTTACTTGCGTTCATTTTCATACCCCTTTCTTTTAATGACCAGTTCATTAAAGTAACCATCATTTGCAACTCGGCCGCCGACGATGCAAATACGACTTGATCATAGGCGTACACAACGCATTTGACGGTCAACTCACCCATTCTCAACCCACATTCTTCAACTTTCAAAGTTCGCAAACAACTGTCCATAAATATGTTAAACAGCCACGGGGAAGCTACACAGCTCTGTCTGACACCATTTTGAATGCAAAACCAGTCCGAGTAGACCCCGTTGATCCTGACACAAGCACTAGAGTCCCTATAAATAGACCTTAATGCCTGTATCAAACCAACACTCAAACCAAATGAGTTCATTGTTTGCCATAACACATTCCTGTCCACTCTGTCATAAGCCTTTTACCAAGTCCATGAACGCACAAAAAGCTTTCTGGTTTTTGGCCAAAAACTTCTCCGCAATCATGCGCATGGAAAAGACTTGATCCGTACACCCCATCCGCTTTCTATATCCAGCTTGCACATCCCAAATTTTTCCATCAGATTCTTCCATAACTCTTCAATTAACACCTTAGCATACAGTTTACCCACAATGCTAAGCAGGCTGATACCACGGTAGTTTTTACAGTCCTGCTGTGACCCTTTTCCCTTATATATTGGGACTATAACGGCTTTGCACTAGTCTTCCGGTATCCGCTTCAGATCCTAACACAAATTAAACAAGGTGTACAGCAGGCCTGACATCACACCCCCTTCTGCCCTTAGCATTTAGAGTGATACTCTATCATATCCGGCTACCTTACCTGCTTTCATGCTTTTCATTGCTTTAATTATTTCATCTACACTTATCTCCCTACCTCTCTCACTTCTTTCGGAATTTCTATTTCTCTTAATTCAGACGACTCTTCACTCACAAACACGCTTTCAAAGTATTCCTTCTATCTCTTTAAAATCGAAACTTCATCATTCAGCATACAGCCATTCTCGTCTCGTATAGCATTAATTCTAGGCTGTTTTGAATTTCCCCTGGCAATTCTTACGAGTTTCCAGAACATTTTAATATTTGCCTGGAAGTTATCAGATATCCTTCTATCATTATTATTCATCCTTTCTTGCTTTTTACTTTCAACAACTTCTATTACTTTCTTATTTATACATCTAAAGTCTACCTTTCTTCTTTCAATCTCATCATTCATACCGCCAGAATTACCAGCTTTGGTTCCTAGTAAATCTAGCCATTCTCTGTTCTTTGCTTCAACTTCTATCCGTACCTGATCATCCCACCGCAAGGTATTATTTTTCCTTTCATTCGTTCTCTTATTTACACCACATACTTCGGTGGCTGCATCCACCAAAACTTTCTTAACATTATTCCATACAGTCTTTAAGTCTAAATCATTCATACATAATTCATTCAAACCACTTATATTTTCCCTTAGTCTACATTTATACTTCTCTTTCACACCTTCATCTTGTAACTTTTCTATTCTTATACGCTGTAACGCAGTGGTAGACACAGATGTCCGATGCCGCCAACGCCTGAATAGACCATTAATTCGGCATAAGACCAAGTAATGATCCGTCCCTACGTTGGAACCCCGGTAAACCCTTGTTACTACCACTGCGCCCCTCATTCTTTCATTTACAATTATGAAATCTATCATACTTCTATCATCACCTCTTTCCCATGTACATAGGCTGCACTAAAAGTATCGGGAATGGAATATTTCCATTGTTCCTGTCATATTAAAATCTTTTTAGTTGAAAACTCCTTGGTTTTAAAAATTGAATACCATTTATTTATTTAAAAAAAGATTCTCGGTCTTATCACAAGCCTAAGGGTATTAGTGTTCTGTGATCACAAGGTTTTGTCAAACTTGTTTAGTCGTTGAGAAAATGGAATTGACTCGAGAAAATTCAAGAGCGATGATTTATTATGACTTTCGAAGTGGTTTAACACAAAACAGTGTGTTGACCGGATGTTTTCTGCATTTGGTGATGAAGCCCCATCCAAAATCACAATTTATCGCTGGTTTGCTGAATTTCAACGTGGACGTGTCAAGTTCAGTGATGATCCCCGTCAAGGTCGTCCAAAAACTGCAGTCACCCAAGAAAACGTTGATGCTGTACGTAAGCTGATTGAGGAAGATCGACATGTGACATACCGCGAAATTCAGGCAACTTTAGACATTGGCATGAGTTAAATACAAATAATCTTGCATGAACAATTAGGTGTAAAAAAGTTGTTATCCCGGTGCATACCGCATTCGCTCTGTGAAGAGCAAAAAGCGGCTCGCGTTACTTCGTGCATCAGAACTCTCGAAAGATTCCACGCAGAATCCTCAAATGCTGTATACAACATCGTATCAGGTGACGAATCCTGGATATACGCGTACGAACCCGAAACAAAAAACCAGTCACGAGTTTGGGTGTTCGAAAATGAGTTAAAGCCAACAAAAATTGTGCGTTCACGGAGTGTTGCAAAAAAAATGGTGGCAACGTGTTACGACTATTCCTATTGAGGGACAAAGAACGGTTAATGCAGAATGGTATGCTAGAATTTGTTTGCCACAGGTCGTTTCTGAACAGAACTGCAATCGCCGCATCATCCTCCATCACGACAATGCGAGTTCTCACACCGCACACAGAACAAAAGAGTTTTTAGAGCAAGAAAACATAGAATTATTAGACCATCCGCCGTACAGCCCCGACCTAAGCCCTAATGATTTCTATACTTTCCCTAAAATAAAGAATAAATTGCGTGGACAGAGATTTTCATCACCTGAAGAAGCTGTGGACGCCTATAAAACGGCCATTTTGGAGACCCCAACTTCCGAATGGAATGGTTGCTTCAATGATTGGTTCCAAATTGGTTTGTCAAATTTCGCGGAGAATACTTCGAAAAGCAATAAATACATTTTTAAATAGTAATGTTGTGTCACTTCCTTGATTCCCGAAATGTTTCAGTGCCCTCGTATACGTGTGAATCTTCTTATGGCGAAAGAAAGTGTTCGTCACAAAAAGATTCTTATGCACACATACGGAGAGGAGGTCTTCACCATTCCCATTTATAGTTTCATCGCCAATCATTCCTAATATCCTTTCATAACCAGACCCCTTCACCCCAACCCTTCCATTAAAATCTCCTAACATAATAATATTTTCATTTCCCTTACATTTCAGTAACACCAGCCTCACCATGTTTCAAAACTGCTCTCGGATATAAGTGGGCTTAGACGCCGGGAACTCGGGGCCATTTCTTTTATTTGCTGGCTCATGGTGTGAACTAAGGGGTGGTAGATTTTACGCTGCTACCATACGGCGAGGAGCCGAGTCTATCCTTTCGGCTTTGTCTCCGATTATGTACTACTTAATAAATAGAATATTTAGATTAAATATTGCATTATGCTTATTAAATTGTTTTTTATATCTAAGTACCATTGTTCCGGAAAATACCTCTAACCTGAAAAGAAGTAACTTACAATTATTTATAGAAATTACTAAAGAAACCGCTTATTAGCGATTACCTTAATATTATTATAATAAACCTGTAAGTTGTGTAAGTTTTAAGTATTATTAAATAATATTTTTATTGAATAAAAATCTTCTACTCTATACACAAGTAAGGTGAATTTCTAGCTGTCGCCCGGCGGCAACAGCCCGCACAGCCCTACCGCGCCCACAGAGCCCGCGCCGCTCAGCAAGGAGCTGGCCGATGCCACCGCCACCGAGAAGATCAAGCCCACGGAGCCGGAGAACAACGATGGTCGTCTAGGCGATTTGCATTTCAAATTGCGGTAAGTTATAGATTTTTTTTTAATTCGTATTTGTCCCTCGTCATTTATCGTAAAAAGGAAGATTATCGTTATTCATGTAAGGAATCATAACTTATTTTATGAAGTTACTAGCGATAAGCTCCAGATTCGCACGGCTGACATCTGGATTCCACAACAGTGCCATCTATCTGGCTATGAATTATGCCTATAACCTTCACGCTAGTGCAAGCAACCTGATGAACGGTATGACTGTGCATAAAATAAGAACAAACAAACATAAAACACAAACAAAAATAAAAAATACAAGAATCAAAATGCAGATGCGTTGGATGAAGATGGAGGACAAAGATGGAATGCCTCGTTTCCAGTAAAAAGGATCTCTGGTTCTCTACAATCACCATACGAAACACAGCGGCGTTCAGCTGTTATTTTACGCTGGTATTCTGTGAGAGCGTGGTCCTTCCCCGCTCGAGCCGACTCATTCGTGCTACAACTATACTACTAACATAGTTGCAATATGGCTCTATCACGTAAAAACAAATTACCAAAATTTTATTTCATTTAATTCTTTTTGATTTTTTTTATTAAACGTCCTTTAAAAACGTTCATTTTGAATAGGACCGAAATAAAACGATTCAACTTCTCTCTGCGGCTCGTGTAAGGGATTAATTTCAAGGGATATAATAATAAAGTGACTAAAACAGAAATTGAAATAGGAAATTTCTATTGAAAATAGATCATAGATAATACCTATTGAAAGACATTTTCAATTTACTACTGGTTTAGAAAATGCCTCTGTCCTTGGAATAACCAACAAGCGAGATTTTTTTGAAATAATTTATATATGAAGAGTTTATATTATGAATAGTGTTGTACAACACTTAATACAATCATTGTAGAAACATCTTCGTGACTCATTCCTATCATTTGTAAAATTCAATCGACCCTTACAAATGTGAGTAAAATCAGTTAAAATAATGCGTTACCACCACGCATTTTGAATTTTTAAGATAATAAGGACAGAATATTTGATATTTTTTTAGTTAATTTTTCTTCACTTTAGCCTATATTCTTTATTCTGAACTTTCTCTGCAAATTTGGCAGGTTATTGCACAATAACCTTGTTTTTTTCTCGAGACATTCGAGGAGGCCCATATTCTAATTTTATCAATAGTAAAACCATACTTATTTTTAATGAATTCCAATCTAGTAATTTTATTCATAACTAGCTTTCCGCCCCGCGTTGTTAACCGCGTCCAAATTGTATCGTCCAGACGGACATGACCCAGGCCTAGGCATGAGATCGTATAATAAGAAGATATAAAAATGTTATCACAATTTAATTTTAAGAGTATCTTTGAAATCTCACCATTTTTTCCTTTTAACACATTATGGTTAGGTTTTCAGAAAATTAAAAAATGCTTAATTCATAGTTTTAACCACAAAATAAATTGTACCAATTTCCAAATTACATAAATTCTTTAATAATTTTCCACCACACATTTATGAAATCGCTACGTAAAATAAAAAGTGTCGTAGGTACTAACTGTAACACCCTACTACTTCAGTCTCTAAGGGTTTGAATTTTCCAAAATCCTCTATTTAGTGAATTTTATAAGAAATAAAAATAGATATTTTATTATTTTAATTTGAGGATATTTGCATCAGTTTTAAATAAAAAAACATTAATATTTTTTTTCTCCATACTCTCGTTAGCTCTTCCTTGCTTTGAAAAATCACAAAATACGTTTCCTTTTATTTTATTTACAGAGTACCTTCAGTAAATTTGAAATCATAAATAGCCCGTAAAATAAAATGTTTCATACAAACTATAGTACCTTATTTAACCCTCTTAAGGGTTGAATTTTCCAAAATCCTTTCTTAATGGATGCCTACGTCAAAGTAAAAGACAGTTACTGTCCCAATTTCAGATTACTACGTCAAGCGGTGTGCGTTGATAGATGTTAGACTGATGACATAGATTTATGCTTAAAATGACAGGCTCGTCTTTTAAAAGCATCAGTCATCTCTCCATTTTATATGACAGTATTTAATTAGTAATAACTTACTTGGAGGTAGGTGATAAGTCTATTACTATATTATCTGCTGTGTATTATCCGCTTTCGCATCCACTTAATTTCTAGCTTCATCATCATCATTATTACAGCCCTTCACAAGTCCACTGCTGAACATAGCCCTCCCCCAATGAACTCCACAAAGCACGGTCCCGAACCACCTGCATCCATTGCCTTCCTGCATATCTTACCAGGTCGTCACTCCATCTAGTGGGAGGACGCCCTACACTTCGCCTGCCGGTACGAGGCGCCACTCAAGAACCTTTCTTCCCCATCGGTTGTTGGTTCTTTGCGCTATACCTATATGGCCGGCCCATGTCCACTTTAACTTACTAATTTTTAGCCTTTATTTAAATTATTCTGTAATATATATTGGTTTTTATGTAATTTTGAATAGAAGATATAAATACAAGTAATTAAAGGTCCTACATAAAAGAGAATATTTTGGGGTTGTCATTGTGACGTTATTAATTTAGTTACTTATACTTAACATTCTGGCCGAGCAGTGGCCGTATGCAAGTAGTCCTTGCACATATAAGGAGTCATTGGACATGTAAGGGTGTCATTACCTATGCGTATTTAATGTATTTTCTGCCGACTTCCAAAAAGGAGACGGTACTCAATTCGACTGTATGTTTTTTTATGTGTGTTACCTCATAACTTTTTACTGGGTAAACCGATTTCGATGGTTCTTTTTTTATATGAAAGCTGATACTTCTCGTGTGGTCCCATATAAATTTGATCAGGGTCAGACCAATAGTTTTTGAGTTATTCTTAATAACTTATATCGAAGTCGGCTGTACAAAATTTTTAATTATTTATTAGCAGATGACCATCATGGAAACAGCTTGTCGCTGACGTAATGAACTTCTTAGCGATGGTAAGGTTGTTATTGATTGAAGTTGATTATTGAATTTTAGATTGTCATTAGTGTAAAATAGAGTGGAGTAACTTTTTTTATTAATATTTTTCGCTCCAGAATCCTCAGGAATCGTGAATTTTTCCCCGATAAAAGCCTACCTCACTTTTTGGTCCATAAACTATCTCTATACAAAAAAATATATAGATCCGTTGTTTTGTTGCTTTGTGAAAGAATGACATAATACTGAGTGTACATAATGCTTCTAAAAACGCTACTTTTTTCGAGTTATGACGATTATTATAAAATATAACAAATCATTAGTAGTTGTAATGCTCGACAGCAGTTGATGAGGAAGATAAATAAGGGTTTGGATTGACTTTTAAAACTCGACATGTTAAAACTGATGATGAAATGACTCAATTATTCTTGCATAAACTGAGTTCAATTATAAACCGATGAACTAGTTCTGTCTGCATGTGTCAAAGTAGTAACCAGTTAGAAATATTGAACTTAACAAGATCGTATTAAAATAGCTTTCAAAATCTAAATACTGTGAAAATCATAAGCACTGTCACATATAATTTAAAATTAACAATGTTTTCCAACCGACTTCAATATAAATTATTAAGAATAACTCAAAAACTATTGATCAGACCTTCATTTATATGGAACCACATGAGAAGCACCAGTTTTCAAATAAAAAAGAATCATCGAAATCGGTTTCTTACGTGGTAGAGCCATGCTGCAGTTATATTTCTGGTATAGTAGTAGGACGATTGGGTCGGCTCGACCGGGGAAAGACCACGCTCTCACAGAATACCAGCGTAAAATAGCAGCTTAACACTGCTGTGTTTCGTATGGTGAGTGTAGAGAACTGGAAAAGAGGCATTCCATCTTAGTCCCCACGGGTGACAACGCATTTGCATTTTGATTCGCAAACGAGAATAGATGTAGATGTCTATGGGCCATGGCAACCACTTACCATCAGGTGGACTGTTTGCCCGTTTGTCACCCTTATCCTATAAAAAACCTAGAAAAAAGTTCTTTATTCTTTATTCTTTATTGTACACACTATACGTTGGTAACAATTATGAAATATTTAAATAAAATGTACAAAGGCGAGCTTAACCCTAATAAGAGTTCTCTTCCAGCAAACCTATTGGGAAAGAGAAATAGTTTTATATAAAGCAAGTAGGTAGCAGCGTGCGTACTTAATAATTAACATAACACTAGTTAATAGAAATTTGCTATAAGTAACAGTTAACAATTAACATATAAGTGTATAAAATATAAGTATAATTTATTTTCTTATTTCTATTGATTTACATACATATATATTAATAAATACAATAAATATATACATATATACTCATACACACACACACACACACATATATATATATATATATATATATATATATATATATATATATATATATATACATATACAATTATATATATAAATACATAAAATGTGTAAATATTTGTAATTCTAAGTTCACAGATAATATTTCTTTACTCTGCTCCGAAATATATCAAGAGAAGAGCTAGCACGTATGTCATGTGGAAGTGAGTTCCATAGCTTGACCGCTCTTATAGTAAAGGATCCACCACATCGGCTTGTGAAATGAGAAGGAGTTTTGAGAAGCAGCTGTTTAGTGGTCCGGCACTGAGTTTCACGAGGTACAAGATACTCAAAACGCTCGCGAAGATATGGAGGTGCAAGAGGATTAAAGAGAAGAAAGTAAAGAAATGATAACACATGTAAGTCTCGACGTTTACGGATAGGAAGCCATTTTAATTGAGCCCTGTACTCTGATACATGATCAAACTTACGAAGACCGAAAATAAAACGTATACACAAATTTTGAATGCGTTCCAGTTTGTTCAACAGCTCCTCTGAAGCATCCAAAAAACTAACATCAGCGTAGTCAATGAGAGGAAGAAGAAGTGCTTGAGCTAAGGTTATCTTAGTTTTTAACGGTAAAAACATCTGGAGGCGCTTGAGAGATTGGAAAGAGTAGTTCACTTTTCTGCTAATCATATTAATATGAGCAACCCATGACAAATTGTTATCAAAAATA